AAAAAAAGAAAAAGACAACTCGCAGAATAGAAGAAACTATTTTCAAATTATATATCTGATAAGTGACTAGTAAACAGAATATGTAAAACTCCTGTAGCTCAGCCAAAAGATAACCCAATTAAAAATGAGCAAAGGATTTAAACAGACATTTCTCCAAAGAAGATATACAAATGGACAATGAGCAGATGAAAAAATTCTCAGCATCATTAGTCATTAGGAAATGTAAATCAAAACCACAATTAGATACCACTTCATACTCACTACGATGGCCATTAAAAAAAACAACAACAGTAAGTAACAAGTGTTGGCAAGGATGTGGAGAAATTGGAACCCTCATACATTGCTGGTAGCAATGTAAATTGGTATAGCTGCTGTGGAAAACAGTTTGGTGGTTCCTCAACAAGTTAAACGGAGGATTACCACATTACCCAGTAATTTCACTCCTAGGTACATACCCAAAATAATTGAAAACAGGAGTTCAAGCCAAAATTTGTACATGAATATTCATAGAAGCACTATTCACAAAAGCCAAAAGTGGAAACATCCCAAATATCCATGAACTGATGAACTGATAAATAAAATGTGGTACATCCGTACAACAGAATGTTACTCAGCCATAAAAGGGAGTTAAGTACTTCTCCATGCCACCACACTGGTGAATCTCAAAAGCATGCTAAGTGAAAGAAGCCAGACACAAAAGATCATATATTATGATTCCACTTATGTGCAATATCCAGAATAGGCAAACCCATAGAGACAGATTAATGGTCACCTGGGACTTGGAGGGAAGAGAGAGTGGGAAGTACCAACCTGCTGGGTACAAAGTTTTCTTTTGGAATAACAAAAATATTTTGGAACCAGATAGTAGTGCTAGCTGCACAACATCATGAAGTTACTTAATACCACTAAACTACACACTTTAAAATGGTAAACTTGTTTTATGAATTGTATCACAATTTTTTTTGAGACAGTCTCACTCTGTAGCCCCAGGTAGACTGCAGTGGTGTCATCATAGCTCACTGCAACCTCCAACTCCTGGGCTCAAGGGATCCTCCTGCCTCAGCCTCCCAAGTAACTGGGACTACAAGTGTGTACCAAGACGCCCAGCTAATTTTTCTATTTTTAGTAGAGACAGGGTCTCGCGCTTGCTTAGGGTGGTCTCTAACTCCTGAGCTCAAGCAATCCTCCCACCTCAGCCTCCCAGAGTGTTAGGATTACAGGTGTGAGCCACTACACCCAGCCTTATCACAATTGTTAAAAGTTACCATGCTAAAACACAGAAAACAATGTGCTTCGTTTCTATTTATCTCAACATTTTCCAAACCAAATATCTCAAAACAAGCTCTATCAAAACAATTAAAAATTATGTCAATTCTCCTTTTGAAGCTTTGAAAATTTCTGAATGAATGCCTTTATGGATGTGCTTTATAGTCTTCAAATATCTCCTAACCTAATAATATCATAAATTTTATGATCTCGAAGATGAAAAATATCCACCCCTTTGGAAGAATTCTGGCTTTTAGCCAAGAGCCATAATCAAGTATATCTGCAAACAGAGCTGCTCTACTTACACTAAGATGAAAGACTGAAAAGAAAGGGTTTTTTTTTATTTATACACAATTCCCACCCCCACAAAAACATATATACAAAATTTAAGTCCTCCATTATTTTTAATTCAATCATCTGACAAGAAATCTGATCATAATATTAATATAACATTCCTCATTTTCTTTACTTCTGTCTACTCTGGTTCCTTGCACCCATTGGCTTTATCATTTACTGGCCAAGCAATGAACAACGTAGTAAAAACAGAAGCTCCTCTACTTTATGGAAAAAAGTTAACACTGTAGAATAAATATATCAGCAAATGCAGACTTGTAATATGAGGATCAACACTGGTCTTGAAGTCGGAACTCCAGGGTCTACCACTTACTTTCTAGGGCAAGTCTTATTTTTCTGAGCTTCATTTTCTCTTTCAGATAAGGGAGAAATACCTTTCCTGCCTGCCTCCCACCTGAAGTACAGTAACAAAATTATGTACAAGGTGTGAATGGGAACTCTAAAGAGGGACACCCAATCTAGCATGATGGAGGATACTGGGAAAAGGAAGAAAGGGGAAGCAGGAAAGGCTTTCAGGAATAGCTGATGACAGAAGTCTTAGAAGAATGAGTTCAAATTCAAAGGGAGGGGAAGTGAGATCATTCCAGGTAGAGAGGGGCATCAGAAGCAAAGGCAGAGAGGAACATCACAAATCTGCTTACGTTATTCCTCTTTTTAAACAATCAAGGGCTCCTGACTCTTTTAGGGTAGTCCTTCACCCTAGCCTCAACCTAAGATTCCAGCCTCATCTCATTCCACTCCCCAAATAAACCATGTTTATACTTTCAAGCCTCAAAACTTAAATGTCCTTCCACTCTAGGAACATCTAGTTCAAAACTGGGAGACCACTTTGCTTGGCTGAGTTAATGTAAGATTTCCAGGCTCTCACAGTACCTTTACACTTCTACTGTACCATTTAATACACTAAGTATCCATCTCAATCTGAGAGACTATGAACACAGTAATAACTTTTATATTCGAACTGTGGGTAGCCAAAACAAGGATTACGCTCTTTCCAACATCAAAGCAGGATAAAGAAAAATGGCATGGAAATGTTCTCAGATTTGCAACATTTCCAAGAGTATTTGAATATATGTCAGTAAAATTTGTAAAAATAATCACGAAAAGTTAAGAATCCATAACTATTAATCTTGACCTAGAACAGAATGAGACCATCACAAGACATCCTTACCAGAAGTAATATATTCAGAAAACAAAATGTCCAAGTAATCTGTTGTAATTTAAACTCACAATAAAAAGCAAGTGTCAATTTTCAAATAAGACAAATTCAGAAGACCAAAAAAAAAAATCATGAATAATTATTTTAGCATTCAAAATCAGCTTTGGTACATTTTTGCTATCTTTAATGCAAGCTACCTTTCCCTTGGACTGTAGAGTTTAAACAATTTTTAAACTCATCAGGCCAGGTGTGGTGGCTGACGCCTTTAATCCTAGCACTATGGGAGGCCGAGGCGGGAGGATCGCTTGAGCTTAGGAGTTCGAGACCAGCCTGAGCAAGAGCCCAGCCTGAGCAAGAGCCCAGCCTGAGCAAGAGCGAGACCCCGTCTCTACTGAAAATAAAAAGAAATTAGCCAGGCAACTAAAAGTATATATTAAAAAAAATTAGCTGGGTGTGGTGGCACATGCCTGTCGTCCCAGCTACTCGGGAGGCTGAGGCAGGAGGATCACTTGAGCCCAGGAGTTGGAGGTTGCTGTGAGCTAACCTGATGCCAGGGCACTCTAGTCCGGGCAACAGAGTGAGACTCTGTCTCAAAATAAATAAATAAAAAATAAACTCGTCAGTCCAAAGGATTGAAATTGTCTAAAAGACACCTGCTGCTCTGTCATACACTAAGACCTCTTCAAAAAGTTCTCTTAGTATTACAACTTAATACACATAAAAAAAAAAAAAAGGTAACAATGGCTTCCCAAAATTGGATGCAAACACTACTATACAGACAATTTTCACAACTCAAGGACTGTTTATTCGTATAATTGTTTCGATCAACAGTAACTCTTTGCCCGGACGCGGTGGCTCACGCCTGTAATCCTAGCACTCTAGGAGGCCGACCCGGGGGGATCGTTTGAGCTCAGGTGTTTGAGACCAGCCTGAGCAAGAGCGAGACCCCCATCTACTCTGGGAGGCCGAGGCGGGGGGATCGTTTGAGCTCAGGTGTTCGAGATCAGCCTGAGCAAGAGCGAGACCCCCGTCTCTACTAAAAATAGAAAGAAATTACTTGGACAACTAAAAATCTATATAGAAAAAATTAGCCGGGCATGGTGGCGCGTGCCTGTAGTCCCAGCTACTCGGGAGGCTGAGGCAGAAGGATTGCGTGAGCCCAGGAGTTTCAGGTTGCTGTGAGCTAGGCTGACGCCATGGCACTCTAGCACGGTCAACAGAGTGAGACTTTGTCTCAAAAAAAAACAAAAACAAAAACAAAAACAAAACAGTAACTCTTTAAGGAGTAGCCATACCACTCGCATCTGTTTTGAGGGTTCAGTCTCATTTTAACAACGTCTCTCAATTCCCAAGATACGGAGATACACACGTGCAGGATTTCCACCCACACCCCACTACGTAAATGTTTCACCACTATTAACTAAGCAAACAAAACCTCTTTCAGTACAGTGAAGCCACCTTATCACTTTCATCCTAACCCCATACCATCTCTTCCCCATCCCCAACCGGTCAATCACAGAACACACAGCACCCCTTCCCAAATAACACCTCTCAATCTCCTTGAACCGAACACATTTACACAACCAGCCAGCAATATCCCTCACCCCATCCAGTCCCTCACACATCAACTGAACCTCTAAATTAAATCCACTCCTCCCTCGACACCATTCCCATCAATACGACCAATCGAACCCTTACTCAACTTCCCACACCCGAAGCGGTCTTCCCTTTCAGTAGCGTCAATCTCACTTAAATGATCATTCAGTCCTTTGTCAACCGTCTCCGGGTCCCCCTCCTGAATCCTCCTCACCTTCCCGGTTGCCGGGTCTTCTATCAGCTCCCAAAGTTGCCACCCCTCAACAAAAACAAAAAACGCACCTCAACCTCAAACCTGCCCTTCCCCACTTTCTCCCTCTTAATTTTCCTCTTCGCCCATTCGGTCACTTAGACAGCAGCTCCCACAACCCCGAAGACCGGAGCCCGGCCTCGTCCGGTACCTATTGGTGAAGGCACTCATCCTGCCTCGGTCAAACCGCCCCCCACTAGGGCTTTTACTCGGAACAGACTCTTGGCCGCCGCTGCCTCCCTCCATTCATCCCCGGCCCATTCATCTCTCAGCCCGATCGCAGACACGCCCCCCGGCCTCCTCCCTCTCTTCCAGCGCCCGGGCCGGCCCGGGACCCTCGCCAGATTAGAGGCTCTCACAGAGAGACACTCTGACTCTTTCTGCTTCTCTCTTACCCTCTCTCAAGCCTCCTCTCGCCCCCCGAAAAGCCACACGGTAAAATAGAACACATACACACTCACCGTCTCCTCCTCTATCGCCTCCTCGGATGCTTCTTACTCCCCTCCTCGATGTCTCGAGCTCTGCTCCGCGTCGTGTGCGCTTGCGCGCGCGAGCGTCTGCCCGCGAGCCCACCGGGCCAGCCACGGCCGGTAGGTAAAGAGCGGGCGGGGTTAGGGGAGCGGGGTACGAGCCCAAGCTCGCGCTCGCCCTGGAGCTGAGCAGGCGCACGCGTACTCCAGCCAAGGAATTCAGATGGGTAGGAGAGAGTGGCGGAGGGGGGCGGGGAAGGGAGGGGAAGAAAGGAGAGGGGGAGGGGCGGAGAAAGCCAACGGAGCAGCCCCAACTCCTAACGGCCCCTATCGCAGCGAGGTGTCTGTCGAGTGGCTAGCCAACTAGAGCGTGCGCACGCCTCCCCGCCCTCTTCAACGCAGCGGGAGAGAGGGATGCGCGTCGAGGAGAAAGGCTTCTGCCCCTTCCAAAAAGAAAATCTCAGTGAGGAACCACGCTCGACACCTTCTGTGTTCTGAAGCTCTCGCTCTCTCCACAGCTGCCTTATCCGCTCCTCTAAAAAGAGAAAAAAATGTCCAAGCACATACTACATCCTAGCCACCCTCCACCCACTCTCAGTTCACAGCACGTCTCTAAATGCTGTAGCTCTGCCGAGCTGTGGAACCCGCCAGCACCTTTTCGCCCGCCACCCCTAACTCCCTTTTTCCAACTCCCGGCTTTTCTCGCGAGACCCATACCTGCCAGCTTTGGGATGAGAAGTCGAAGCACAGATTTACAAATACCGGTCTCCCAGTTATGTTGCGAGGGCAACTGCCATGGCATGTCCCTCCCGCCCCCCAGGACTGCAGTGCGCGCGCGCGGGGGTTGGGCAACCACCAAAGAAGGGATGGGAAAGGGAAGCTATGAAGCAGATTTTTGACGGCATGTAACCGCTAGGCCTGGGCACGTGCCCTGCGCCTCACAGGCGGGTGCGAGGTACCCTGGGAATTGTAGTTTTTGTTCCCACCTCCAGTCCCACTCCCACCTTCAGCCTTATTTAGGCCTCTGACCAGGAAGGGGATTACCGACGCCATTTTGCCAGGAACAATGGCCCTAGGCCCTGGCGTTGGCGGGTGGGGGAGGGAGCAATGCTTTTAAGGGTTCAGTTAACCTCCCCTGGCCCCTCGGTGCCATAGCAACCTCTTCAGAAGCCTGGCCCCGCCCCCTCGCTGCTCCGCCGGGCTCTTAAGACTGCGCATGCGGAAAGGCCACCTCCCACTGAGGCCTGCTCTCCCCGTCTTCCACCGTCCACTTCCCTGAGAAACTCCCCGATCCTCTAGCTGGTAGTAAATGCTGCCTCCTCGGAGCTTTCACTACATGTCAGCCTCCGCGCAGTGGCTTAAGAACTGCTTCCTGTGCTGTATCAGGCGCAGTACAGAATCGTTTCTGTCATTCTCACATCAACAATCTTCACTGAACAGAGGAGGAAACTCAGGCTCTAGAGGGGAAAATAGACCTGACTTGCTCCAGTTCACACAACTATGTGTGGAGGAGTTAGAACTTGAACCCACGTGTGCTCACTCCAGAGCCTAGGCATTTTTCAGTCCCCCAGGATACATACATCTGGTGTAGCTGGGGAATGAAAGCTCCTAAAGGGCAGGATTTCTTTTGAATGCCTTTCAGGCCTTCCTTAGCAGGATGCCTTGAGGGTTGTAGGAGGCTGTGAGGGAAATACTAGGCTAATATTTTCAACTGCTGGGCCTCAGGGTCCTATCACCGAATTATTCACCTCTCCAACCACCTTTCTTTCTTTTCCTGCTGTAGGCCTCAGAACCTCAATCTTTTTGATAAGCACCATCAATAAATTGAGGGTTCTGAGGTTTCCAAAGTCTAAATGGAGTGTAATAGTGGGAAGCCTTGTCTCTGCCCCTTCCTTCTTGAAGATCGCTTATTAATCCCAGTATTGCCAGAACATGTAAGGAAAGCAGACCATGCGCCTGATAAATTCAAACCCCCATATTTCAATTTTTTTTTTTTTTGAAAAAAACAAAAACAAAAACAAAGGAAAGCAGACCATGCGCCTGATAAATTCAAACCCCCATATTTCAATTTTTTTTTTTTTTGAGACAGAGTCTCGCTTTGTTGCCCGGGCTAGAGTGAGTGCCGTGGCGTCAGCCTAGCTCACAGCAACCTCAAACTCCTGGGCTCAAGCGATCCTCCTGCCTCAGCCTCCCGAGTAGCTGGGACTACAGGCATGCGCCACCGTGCCCGGCTAATTTTTTCTGTGTATTTTTAGTTGTCTGATTAATTTCTTTCTATTTTTAGTAGAGACGGGGTCTCGCTCTTGCTCAGGCTGGTTTCGAACTCCTGAGCTCAAACAATCCGCCCGCCTCGGCCTCCCAGAGAGCTAGGATTACAGGCGTGAGCCACCGCGCCCGGCCCCCATATTTCAATTCTGACAACAGAGGGTAACTCTAAGGGAACGATAGTCAGGGCTATGAGGTCCAGCCACTCCACCTGTGGAAATCTTCCTTCTTGGCCGATTTGGAAGATCAAGGTGTGGTTTCTCCAAATAGTGCCACCACTCTACCTTAAGGGTCCCAATTAGCTAAGAATGGATGGGGTCTCTCACACTTCTTTTCTCACTGCCCCTGAAGATAGCCCACATCACTTCTGTAAAGCTTGTGAAATGTTCAGCATGTTAACTCCTCTGCAAAGTCCTCATGTGGTGGCCAGACTACAGAGCCTGAGTTGGGGTTGCTGGAAAAGCCATTCCCTCTCCAGAATAAGATTAGTTCTTTTAGAAATGTACAGCCTGACATTGTATATTCTTTTGGGAATCAGAAAATTTAGTCTCCTGATGATGGGAAAGCAATACATGTTCAGTAGAAACTGTACTTTGAGTACCCATATAACCATTCTGTTTTTCACATTCAGTACCATATTCAATAAGTTACAGGAGATATTATTTTAAAAAGAAAAAAAATTCAGTCTCCTAGGATAACTAATCAGGCTTCATTTGCTGGCCTGCCTTTCCTTCTCTCCTTCCCTCCCTTCCTTCCACTGACCTCTCTCTATCTGTTCCAACATTTTGTAATAGTCTTTCAAAACAGTCTTGTCACTATGATATGGAAATCTCAGGAGGTAAAGAAAAAAAATTTTAAAAACAGTCCTGTCACAAAATCCCTCATGTAGCAGGTAGGAATCATAGTCTACCCAGTAAGGTGAATAATAATAATAATAATGGCAGCTAATAAATAAATAGCAATTACTATGTGCTTTATACAAACCTATTGAATCCTATGAGGTAAGTGCTGTTATTAACACCATTTTTCAAATTAGTAAACTAAGGCACAAAGAGGTTAAATAACTTGCCTAGGGTAATACAGCAAGTAACTTTCAGAGCTAGAGTTTGAACCCAGTTAGGTTAGTTCAGAGTCCATGCTCTTAAACATTTTGTTGTATCTTTCTTTATTGTCTATAATTTCATTTAACTTTGGACTCCAACATCCCCCATTCCTTTGGGTTGGAAAATAACTTAACCTCAGTTCTTCTTGAAGTTCCTCCATCCCAGGCTCAAGCCACAGTTCTGGGCTATTACATGGTGCTGAGGCCTGGGAGCAGAGGTTCATTAAATCCTTGGTCTTCGGGCCACACAGGAAAGCAGTCAGAGGTCCACTGCCTCTTCCCACAGTGTTCCTTTCCCATTTGACAGGCCCTTGTTACATTGGGGCCCTCACAGTGGCTTGGGAATTTTTGTTAAGGTTGCCTAGAACAGCCCTTCTTCTCTCAGGTTTTGCAGTCTACCCAAGGATGTACTAGGAAGTAGGACATGGGTCCCCTCTAATAGGGACCCAAGGCTCTTCCTGATAGCATTACATTATCTCCAGCCCTAAAGGTCAAGAAGGGCCAGAATCTCTCTTCAGGCAGGATAAAATCCTTCTTGTATATTTCGTGGCCAAGACACTTTGTCTACATGGTAATCCTCTTCCCACTAGGACTTGGGCTTTTGAAACAGAAAACAAAGAGATTGGTTTGCCACATCCCTTCCCCTGAGACAATAAAATGGGGGGTAGGGGTGAGGGCATGGGGGGGTGGGAGGAAGGGAGAAGAAAATAGAGAAATTAAAAGCGGTAACTACAGAGAATATAAATTTATCTCAGTTTCAATTCTGTGGAAAAACAATAGTTTATTTAATAAATGGTGCTTTCAAAATTGGTTATCCAGCAAGAAGAAAGTAAAGCTAGATCCCTACCTTATGCCATTACAAAATAAATTCCAGACAATGTCCATTTTCCTCCATCCATCCATTGCTGATAGGAGTAAGAATCATTAGTATCTTTTTTCGTTTTTACAAAGCAATCTGGAAGAATCTAATAAAATTTAAAATCTACAGTATCAGTCCAAAATGGTTTGGGCTGCAAGTGACAGAAAATCTGACGAATAGTAGCTTAAACAGAGAGAGGTTTATTTTTCTCTCTCACAGAACAAGAAATCTGGAGGGACACAAACTCTTAACATTGGATTGACTGCTCAACAAGGTCATCAAGAACCTAGGCTTGGCCGGGCATGGTGGCTCACGCCTGTAACCGTAGCACTCTGGGAGGCCCAAGTGGGAGGATTACTTGAGGCCAGGAGTTCGAGACCAGGCTGAGCAAGAGTGAGACCCCGTCTCTACTTTTTTTTAATTTTTTTTAAAAATTAAAATAAAATTTAAAATTAAAAAAAAAGAACCTAGGCTTGTGCTCGCTTCAGCAGCACATATACTAAAATTAGAACGATATAGAGAAGATTAGCATGGCCCCTGGGCAAGTAATAAGTGAAATAAAAAAAAAAGAACCTGGGCTTCACCTCATACCTGTTAGAATGGCTATTATCAAAAAGATGAAAGATAACAAATGTTGGAGGCCGGGCGGACACGGTGGCTCATGCCTGTAATCCTAGCACTCTGGGAGGCCAAAGTGGGAGGATCACTTGAGCTCAGGAGTTCGAGAACAGCCTGAGCAAGAGCCAGACCTTGTCTCTACTAAAAATAGAAAGAAATTAGCTGGACAACTAAAAATATATAGAAAAAATTAGCCGGGCATGGTGGC